GTATTTGTCCTAAAAGCTAGACGGGCAGCGTTGCCTTCAACCCTTTTGAGGGCAAGCCAAGGTACGTTTCGTTTTGGGTGGTTTGGTGCTGGCATTGATCCGATCTTGGCCACGATTACATAATTATCCGCAATACTTGCGCTTTTCAATCTATTCTTATTAGGGTCGAAAAAGAAGGCAGGTGCAGCACTTTGTTCGTGTGGAATAAAATAATGCTTTGCGATACGTGTGTATTGGGACAATACTTTTCGGGAGTCTTTCTTAGCAGCTGCTTTGGCAATCTCTGCGGGATCCTCTTCAGCATTGGTGATGTCTCTCAGGTGGGCCACTGTGTAGATATATGGGATAAGAATATCAGCAATCTGCTTCAAACACCCGACCCCGTCGTGAATAATTTGGGGCGTGTAAGCCCTTTGAACCGAGATACAGTACCACTCACTAGCACCAACAAGTGTCCAGGTCGGAGTTCCAGACGCGAGAGAGCAAGTGTAGTTCTGAGTCCCGACACCAACGGCCACGGCTTTTAGGGAGAGGTCTGTTGGTATGGTAAGGTTATAGGCGGAAGCGCCTTTCGGAAAGTTCGGGCCTGTAGAGCTCGGCTCTCGATGCATCAGCCGAACGTGGTCTCCGGTACCTTCAGGAGCGCAATCTGAGCCAAGAGAGGATAAGACTCCGGTTAGGATGACCGAAATAGTGATTCGGAGGGATAACATCTCGCCGTAATAGGAAACTATCGAATCAGGTAATAATGATCAATACAAATAGTATGGCTTCAGCTTGAGTATGAGAACGACCTTCAAGGAGAGAATTTGTGGAGGTTTCTGATGTCGTTCCGTTGGAGGAGGTTGGAGGGTCGTGAGGTAGAATGTGATTATATAGAAAATTCTCGAAGCCCCTTGTTAATAAAGCGTGAGAGTGGCGAACGTGAAGGATCTGATGAATAGACCTTGATCGCTACAGCGGCCCGCAACAACAGCAAACTAGTTGCAATGAGACCGGCGTGCGAAATTTTATGAGCGGGCGCACTCTTGATTAATAAGATCAAAAGTAAATATTGGATGGTTCAAGTACACATGGAATCACCTAGCCAGACGTCGCTAGGGCATATCTACCACTTGAGACTTGACTCGATAAAAGTGTTGTTCTCCAATACCAAAATATGTGTCTTTGAATAGACCGAGAACGACTTGGTGATTTGCAAGTTTGATGATGCCCTTTCAGCCTGACGACGATTGTACAACATGATCATTACTATATTCGTCCGGCCAAACAAGTGGTCGCTGGAAATTCTGAGAAGTTACTAGGTACATACCACCTGAAGCTCGTGAAGGGACTTGGAGCCTTTGTCGCGCCGAAAACTGTGATGTTCAAATTCTTCAAACCAACGATAGCTCCAGAAGAGCCCGCGGTCAATCCTGCTGACCCTCCACAAAACGGATTGTATGTAGGAACTAATTCAGCCGCTGATCGATTGGTCGATTGTTCTGTGATGAGTTGAAAGTGGGCCAATACAAAATCTTTGCTCGAAGAAGACAAAAGAGTCAGAATAGCTGGCAACAGCTCCTGAGGCTGAGGATCTTGGCATAGCTTGGCATGTATGTATGTAAGCGACTATAATTGTACGGTGTACTTCACGGCAGCCGGTCAGAGACCTTGAGCAGCCTTGAGCCCACCAGATTAGCAGATGGTCGACTCTATGAGATCAAACAAATTCAAGTATGATCCCCGTTTCCTAGAGTTTCTGAATCGTCACTTGTGAGTGAAATTAAATTTTTATGATATGCACACTCCAGCTCTCAATAACAATGACATGACAAAGACTTTCAGTATCAAGAGGGCGAAAAAACTGAAGAAAGGTAAAATGTGCTTCATTGTTCTTGGGGCGTCAATCAAACTTCCTGTAAATGAAAAATTTTGTTTGTTTGACTTGTTGGTAGATTGTGTTTTGGTACATATGCTTTTGTGATTGTGTTCAAAAATTTGAAAGGCTTATTCCATTTGCCACAGCGACTTGAGGCCTCTTGAGGCATCTTGTTATTAAAATATGCGCCTATTATACCCCTTATAATAGATCTCTCCGATAAGCTTTTTATAGCAACTATAGCCCACAGGTATCAAGTTGCTTCATGTACACAAAACGTTTTGGTAAGAAGTGAATCGCCATCTACCCCACATTGACAAAAGTTATAGGAATCCGTGTCTTCCTCATAGAGGTTATCATGAGTCCAATGAGCTTCAGAAATGTCATGAAGAACAGTAAAGAAAGCACAAATCGTTATTGTATCAGTATGTTTATAGCATTGTAGCCCATAGCTGCAAAAGCATAAGGGTGAGCCATGCGGATTTCCAATCCTCCTATAGGATATAGAGACAAAGCACAAATAGTGAAGAATGGGGTTCAACTTTAAGTCGGCCTGATGTTGGTGATGAGATAGATGCTAAAGTGCGAACCAGGTATAGAGCTCCAATGAATCTTCAGCCATACTCGGATCAGCTTGAGGCATGCATGTGAATCACATCTGATAGAGACATCCCGATCCCCTTCTTTTGTCAACACTGCGTTTCAACTTCCAATCATCATTCTTCAAAAGTGCAGCTAACAGAAAAGGCAATACGAACGATCTCAACCGAAACCGCTCACGGTTGGGCAAGCTGAAGTTAGATTGAGAAAAGTATATAGGATCACTCCAAAAGCATTATCCTTCTAGGCAGCTCATCACAATCTAAACATGTTTTGAGGAAATAACTACAAAACACATCGGTGAGGGTGCTTTTGTCTTCCTTACACCTGCTTCCTTAAATGGTCAATACCCAAGCTCAAAGGGACAAAGGAACAAAGCCACAGAGAATGAGACTTTGCCTTCTCTTTCAATTTCAAAACTATGGCATCAAGGTACTCAAGAGTGCGATGCCAAATCCCAAAATCTCTGCGTTCTCAGTCTGTCAGAGCTTACTTGCTGCCATTCTTGTCCATACCTGAAGCAAGCAATCTAGTCTCATCATCCAATCTCAGTTCATCACAACAACTAGAACTTCTTCCTTCGACATCAAAAGTTAAGCTGTTGCTCAAACCATTATTCAGTTTTTCAAAGATTCACTCGATGCCGTCCGACTCTGCCTCTTTCCCGGGCAATTCTGTCCCACTCACACGGAAGTCCCAAGTGGCTCCTCAAATCCTAGAACACGGTCAATCGTCATCTTCGAGTTACAACCCACCTCCTCCGCTCTACGCACCCGGCTACGTTGGAGCAATACCAGGCTATCAGCATACAGCTATCGTGCCTCATGACTGTACTCATGTGCACAGTCTGATTAGTGAATGGCTTATCAAGAATCGGAAAAAGGAAGTTTGTCAATCAAGTGATGGAAGACAATTAGAACATCCCACTCTGAAACGTAAAGCGATATCATACGACGACGACAAATGTCGGGCCCCAAAAGCTCACCTTGACATCAAGCAGGATCTTGAGAAACCAGCATCTTCCAAGGCCTTTTATCCAGCTGAATCCAGTTTCGGTTCCTTGTCGAACTCCACATTACCTGCCCCACGCAGCTTTTATGCTCACCGCTTGGCACACGCCGAAAGTAAGATCAGTCGAAAACACAATCCCAAGTCGGAAGCGCGGCAGTGACGGTTCTGAAAATCAAAGTCTTCACCCCACATCGAGAGATTGTTTCAAGCATATCACTACACCCAGTTCCTTTTAGACTTGATTGGGGTTTGGGATTGGTCAATACCAGAGAAAGATCTGGCTTTTCCGAAATTGTGAATTTGTATGTTCTTCCCGCGTGAAATTGATCATTATCAACTTGAATATAGTTTTGTTCCTCGCCTTTTTTTCTCTTTGTCACAATTATCACATAATTATTTAAGTCATCTCATGTAACTTTCACTTCTGTTGATCTTGATCACCATTCTCGCAAGTTATTCTATTTTACACTGTTTATGCATTTTCCCGTTCATTTCCCTTTGAATTTATTTTCCACAATTTACTTTTTTTCTTGACTTTTCAAAGAGGCCTTTGCTTTCACCACATTCATTTCAAAATTACAAATATTTATGGTTTGACTAAAAGTTTTCATCAGTCATGTGGGCACTACAAAATTTTAAAGAGAGGGTAATGCCTTGCCCATCTGAATATCTTAATCCGGGGTTGGGGTCCTAACTTTTAACGTTTTGAGTGAATTCAACAAGTTTCAAAAAGCTTGCTCACAAGAAGCAGCTCTCACATCTCATCGTAAAATAGTTAATGTTGGACTTACAGCCTGGTGGGATTCATAATGTACCATTCAGTTGAATCAAAAATTTCATACAACCAATTTCCAACCTGTTCTTCTCTACTCTTTCTAATTTTGTGTGGGACAATGCTTCATATCAAGGTCATCTGAGATACCGTTACAGATAAAGTACTAAAGAAAGACTTTGCTGATTGTTTTTTTTGCTGATTGTTTTTTTTGCCGATTTTTTTTGCCGATTTTTTTTGCCGATTTTTTTTGCTTTTATTCACTACTACCTTACTCGGAACATTCTTGAGTAGTGAGTATACCGTGTACTGCGGATGTTATGAAAGATTGATAAGAGGGTAATAAGATAACTTAAAACTTACCTTTGGGTCAAAAGATCTTCATAATCTCTGAGCTTGATTCAATTGAGTATTCTTCATTTTGAGTTTCCCTTTGAAGAAAAAACTTCACAAAGCTTGTCAAATTTTGTGTTCAATTACTAGGTCCTGTGAATGTTCTTGGAGGTTTGAGATATAGGATCTGGGGGTATGCACAACAGCACTAATAGTGAGACTTCAAACAACCTATATGATCTGGAACACTCTGTCCTATAAGCTAGTACAGAATTATAATGATCTAATAAGCTTACAAGTTATTGGATGTAAGAGACAAACAATAATCTTCTTGATCAAAACAACATGATCATTTAATCAAATCAACCACCAATAAACATCATGGAGAGAAAAGTAACAAAAAAATGAAATGGAAAAAATTGATGGTCCGTGAGGGGCTCGAACCCACGACCGTGGCATGTACCAAAGGCATATTAGTACCACGCTCTACCGACTGAGCTAACCGACCGTTGACTTTTCGTCCTTGGTTTAAAACAAAGACTGCGCACCCTGGATTGAACAGCCTCGGACAAAGTGATACTCAGTCAATGCTGAGGATTTAATCAAGTATCAGTCTAATGTGATGTACAGCCACAATATTGATCAAGTTTAATCATCAGGAAAGATAGGTGTCAAGATGTTTTGAATGAATTGGACAAATTTCTAGAGGCTTGAACAAACTCTCACTTGGTCTCAGATACCGAAACAGTCAAGATCTTGATGGTTTGATTTGATTATCTCACTATTTGACTCAAGAAGAGTGTTCAATACCAATCTAATCTACAGCCCCATCATAACAACGACTCAAGGGGAAGGTCATCGACTCACTTTTTGATCAGTTTTCATCATCATTAATCATCAAGGAGATATAGGTGTGAAGATGATTTAACAATGAATTGGAAAGATTCCTAAAATTAAAATACTACAAGTCGATGATTCATAACCAGACGAGAGAAGCTCGAGTATATGATTCAAATAGATATTTCTACAATGCTCAATGATCTTTAGCTTACACAATACAACATCCTTTGTAAGGAGAACCCAAGTCTCAAAATCACCTCCGACGATCCGATCGATCACGATAAGACGAATATCTCTGTGGACTTCGTGACCTACTCCTTCTGTTCCCACGTTCGTTTCGATCTCGTCTCAAATCACGACCTCCATCATCATAACGAGACTGATGATGACGAGAATGAAATCTTCCCTTTTCAGTTGATTCAAAGGTCATTTGATAATCTTGATCACCTTTTTGATTTCTCGTACTTGTTCCATGAGATTGTACGGAGCGAGGGTGTGAATGATGTGATGAGGTTTGAGTCTTGGTCCTTCTTCCAGTTCTTTTAAAAACCCAATCTGAATGACTAAAGATCAATTCAACATATCAAAACAAAGGATTTCATCAGATTCAAAAGTTTTTCATCATCAAAGAGATCAAGAGTTAACTAACAGTTTAGAAACCGATTGAGAAAAATCAACATGAATCCGACGATCATCAATTAAGACTCCATCCATTTTAAAATAAGCCCTTTCAGCATCTTCTCTTTGATCAAATTCAATAAACGCATATTGAAGACTATCACCCGTCTTAGCATCCTTAATGACTTCACAACTTAAAATCGTTCCAAACCTACTAAAGATTAATTCAAGATCTTCAGATCGAGTGATCGAATTCAATTTACAAACAAATAAGATGTTTTCAGGTGGAGCGACTTCAGCAAATGGAAGATCTCCGACCATCTCAAGTGTTAACGCTTGAGCTCTCGCATCACGATCTCTTCTTCTCCTTTCCGCTTCTTCTTCATCTAATTCTTCATCTAATTCTTCTTCATCTCCTACGGCCAAAACCTTGCCCTTCAGATCCGAAGGTGGTTCGAGAGGAGAATGAGGCGGGATGACAAGTTCTTCAGGGTCTGGAAACGGATCATCTAATACGATCACATGTCTTAATCGAATATCTCGTAATGGTCTTCCATGATCATCAAGAAGTGAATCATTAATCTTATCCAATGTTTCCAAACCTTCGATCACTCTTCCAAAAACGACGTGTTTTCCATCAAGATAATCTAAACGATCTGAGAGAGTGAAAAAGAATTGACTAGCACATCTACCATCAGAGACAGCCATCGAAAGTGTTCCTTTTGTATCATGTTTTAAAAGTTTGAGAGTTTGAGGTGAAAGTTCGGCTGGAAAGTATGATTTTCCATAATAAGGAGATGATTTTAATTTTGAAAAAATCGATTCTCCTCCAGTACCAAGTTCAGTAGGATCACCAGTTTGTGCAATAAAATCTTTTTGAACTAAAAAAAAGATCCCAAAAAAAAATCAAAGTGTCAACAAAACAAAAACGAACATTAAATTTGAAGTAAAAGAAAAAATATAAAAACAAACCATTAAAGAATGAATTAAAATTGAAATAAAACGTTTTACAAAGTTTTAAAAAGTTTTCACTTGTGATTGGACAAAGATCAGTTTCAAGATCGATGACTAGATCACCTAAACTTGTCTAAAGTAAAAAAAAGAAAAGAAGAAAAGAAAAGAAAAGAAAGAAAAGAAAAGAAAAAAAAAAGAAATCAAGTTTTAAGTAAGGGTTATTTTTTTTCAAGGAATGAGAATTAAGTGAAATTGATGAACTTACTTCGAATAAGACACTCATTCTTTTTCACTTCTTTTGGATCAAATTTTAATCTCAATCCTCTCACTCGATGATCCTTGAGAGTGTCTTTTGTGGATTACCAAGGCTCCGATCCGATTCTTCAAGCCATCATGCTTCTCCGGTCCGATTGAAAGAAAGCTCCGAGCAAGTCTGACCCGAAGGGATGTGAGACAGGCAGAAGAAGGATGATGTGTAAAAAAAGGTTTCGAACAAAGAAAAAAATTATCAATCCAGTTGGTATAAATGAACTTATTGAAACTCAATCTTCAAAACTTCAAATACCTACCTACCCTTACACCTTTTTTTTTCTTTTTGCTCTCTTCATTTCTCTTCATACCCATTTTAAATAATCCTTCAATTCAAAAAGCAAAAAATAAAATCTATTCTTTTAATTTCTCTAGTTTAAGAAAATCCCCATTTTCTTTTTCTTTCATAAACTATATTGACACAATCACTCAAAAACCTCCTACATAAACATATATAATAAATATATATAAATATCAATATATATATATATAACGATAAACTGAATCATACTAAAAATAACCCCTTTGATTCTGATTCACAAAGAAAAGTGAAAGACCCCCAAAAAAAGATCAAAACCAAATCAAATAAATATATATATGAAAATAAAAGTTTCCATTGAATTAAGTTAGAAAGGAAAAATGTTAAATAAGTATAATGTAAGCAATGTAAGAAAAGGAAAGTTTGAAAGAAAAAAACCCGACGGTTTGAAAACCAAGCGTCTGGTTTGATATTCATTCATTCTTGATTCATTTTTTCTTTTGGTTTTTCCTATCCACCTTCACTTCTAGAAAACCCTCTTCTTCTACCATTTCCAATCTCAATATGTAAGGCTTGATTAGAGGTGATCGTATTCGATTCATTTCGTTCATTCCCATCACTTTCATCTTCATCACTACTACTCTCTTCTTCTTCTTCTTCATCTTCATCAGTCCCACTACTCGTAATACATCCTCCTCCACTCCCATCGGTCGGTAATTGTAGCAAAGGCGGTCTTCTGATCGAATAATTCCATTTCTTTCCATCATGATACATTTCCGGTTCTTCTTCTTCTTCTCCTCCATCTTCATTTCCCTCCTCCTCTTCTTCTTCTCCTTCTTCATTTTCAACTTCTCCTTGTAAGACAGTATCCGGCTCAAGTCCATCAAAAAGCTCAGTGTGGTGATGGTGATCAAGAGTAGTAGGGGTCATCACCGTTGAACCTTCTGATTCATTTCCACGAACCCACGACTTGGACCTCTTGAACCTTTGTCGAACACATGAAAGGAGTGTTTCCCTAAACTTCACCGGTCGAGCATTTTCAAGTCGATTACACTCTTCATCATTCGGTGAAATCTCTAAAGGATCATGATAATTAGGTGCACTACTGGTTGTCACGATCGTACTTGTCATCGTAGGTTTTACACATGGTCCACTCGAGCCTGCAACCACTCTCTTCAATGAACCTTTTGAACTTTTCATCAATCCTTGTAGGAGAGATGGACCAGGTGAGGTAGGTAACGATCTTCTTTGAATCGCTCGATCCTTCCCTCGTTCTATTTCTTCATTCGGTACCATCCCAGTCACAGGTCGATTAAGCATATGAGGATGATGTGCATAGATCGCTACATTATTCGTACCGCTCGTCGAACTTGAACAAGCCGCTAGACTGTTTCTAGGAGAGCTTGCATTCGATTCGATCTCTGTACTCGTTTGATTGAAATCAGCGGGGGATACTCCACGTCTTGATGATCGCATCGATGATGAACCATCATGTTCTTCATTACATGCCCCAGCAGATCCCTTTAACAATCCTAATGAGCTACGTGCAGGTGGACCGGTTTTGGATCGGGCTCGATTGTTATAACACATCAGTTTCTCAATATCATCATCGTGAGCTTCGGATCCGATGGGAGGGTTGTGAGACGGATTGGTTGGAACTCCTGTCCGGCCACCTCGAAGTTGAAATCCACGCTTGAACACACTGCTGTTGTTGGGGCTCATGTGATGATTGACAGGAGAAGAGAGTGGAGAAGAGGATCGTGCCCCGGGTTCGACCGATCTCGAGGCGATAGTAGAAGCCAAGATGGGCGGGTGGTAATTGGGCATGTTCCGATTGGGTGGCGAGTTATATTGGTGATTGATATTGTTATGGTGATTAGTGTTAGTGTTAATATGATGACCGGCAAGAGTAAGTTCAGCAAAAGTCTGGAACGGTAGTTGTCGTCGTTCAACTGGACTCGTACAGGCACTTGCACTCGCACTCGCGCTGGCACTACTGATACTTTTGGATCGATTATCCCTTGCACCAGTGGCTCGTTGTAAACCCAATTTGATAGCTGCTTTCCTCAAGCTTTGTTTCACTCCTCCTAACGGTTTCTCTTGTACCCTTTCAGCACTTCTTCTGGGATGCGAAAAATTCGCTACCTCTTCATTGGTCACATGAACTGCATCACCACCCACTGGAGCTGTTTCGTGTACCCATTCCTGCGTGTTATCAAGGTTGTTTAAAACCCATGGATGTGTCTTTTTGTTTTAAAACACGCAATCGTTAGAGATATAATCAGAAATGACCTTCATCAGCCAACCATACAAAATGTTTTCGAAAAAGTAGAAACGGACATGGAATGAATGAGGAAAAGAAGAAATGAATTGAATGTGAAAAGTAAACTGACCTTCACTTCTTCAAGTGTGATCCGTTTCCTAGGATCCTTGGTTAAAAGTTTTCCCAGAAGGTCAATCAATTCCCTCGAATCTCTTTCAAACGGTCCATCATGATTAGGATGATCCCAATCAAGCATCAACGATTG